TCCCCTTCTTAAGTGCTGGGATTACAGAGATGTGTCTCTACTGCTGATAGGCAGTCTCTACAAGTCACAATATCGGCCCGCTTTGTTATTAGGAAAAGCAGAATATGACAGCGGCCTCATCCTTGGGGATCTCTGAGCTAATTTCTCAGAGGCATCCTAGGAGATTATGGGGAAACCAGGGCCCCAGCAGGCTGAGGCCATCAGGTGTCTAAGGCTTTGGGGACCTGAGACTCAAAAGGTTCCACAATCAAGAGAGCTTCAAAAGCTGTTCAGCATCTTGGGTTCTTTGGGGGCAAAGTCACAAGGGCCTGAGCTGTTTATTACTCAGGTTTGCCGCTTCTTGATGCTGCTGCCCCAAGCTTTGGAACACACGGGCAGGAGCCACTGCCGCTTGCCCCAGCAGATGACCTTGGGAATCGCTGATCCTCAAGTGTCAGGGTACAAGCTGAACCCAGCTCAGGTGGCAGAGTGCTTGCCTACGTGTCTGAAGCTCTGTGTTTGCTTCCTAGCACTGTGTTAACCAAGGCAGTGCTTGGAATCCCAGCATCAGGAGGGATGTGGGTAGAGTCAGGAGGATCGAAAGTTCAGGATAATGCTAGGCACTGAGTTTGAGGCTAGCCTGGGAAACATGAGACCCTGTCTCAAAACAGAAAAGAAAAGGAAAAAAAAAAGGTTATATACACAAAGCCAGGTTTGGTTTTGGTTTGGTAATCCAGCTCCTCAGGAGGTGGAGGTAGCAAGATTGCCATGTATTGGAGAACAGCCAGGACTATATAGTGAGACCTTGTCAAAGAGAGAGACTGTGGAAGCTGGAGGTAGAGATTGCCTTCAGAGGAGCAGTGACTTTGGGCAAAGAATTAATGGAGGCCGGGGTGACCTCAAGAGAGCAAGCCTGAGGAGCTGATGCACTGATAAGTTTATTTCAGTCTTTCTTGTTGCTTGTTTCTGGCTTGTTTTGTTTTGTTTGGTTTGGTTTTATGAGACAGGGTTTCTCTGTGTAGTTTTGGTGCCTGTCCTGGATCTCGCTCTGTAGACCAGGCTGGCCTCAAACTCACAGAGATCCGCCTGCCTCTGCCTCCCAAGTGTGGGATTAAAGGCTTGCGCCACCACTGCCTAGCTTGTTTCTGACTTTCAAAACTTGAATTTTATGTTTATTGGTGTTTGTGTGCATGTATGTCTGTGCACCACATGTGTACCTAGTGCCCGTGGAGGCCAGAAAAGAGCATCAGATCCCCTGGAACTGGAGTTACAGACAGTTGTGAGCTGCCATGTGGGTGCTGGGAATTGAACCTGGGTCCTCTGGAAGAGCAGCCAGCGCTCTTAGCCACTGAGTCATCTCTCTGGCCCCTGTTTGGATTTTAAAACATTTTTAAAGATTTATTTTTGTTTTATGCATATAAGTATTTTGCTTGCATGTATCTGTGTAGCAAGTGTGTACCTGGTACCTGCAGAGGGCAGAAGAAGGTGTCAGACCCTGGACCCCCTGGAACTGGAGTTAGGAGCCACCATGTAGGTGCTGGGAATCAAACATGGGGTCCTCTGCAAGAGCAGTGCCCATGCCCTGAACTGCTGAGCCAGCTCTCCAGCCCCCCCACCCCCCAGCTTCTCAAATGCAATCAGAGATGAATTTAGATGTCTAAAGCTGTCCAACTAGTTGGCTCAGCCAGTAAAGGCGCTTGCCACAGAGCCTTTTTATTCAGTCTGGGACCCCAGCCCATGGAATGATGTCACCCACATTTAGCGTGGGTCTTTCTACCTCAAATAACCCAATCTAGAAACTTCCTACAGACGTGCCCAGAGGCTGTGTCTTAAGTGACTCTAGGTCCTGTCAACTTCACAGTCAGTACCAGCTATTACAATACTGGTGACATTTCCAACATCACCTTTCTTTACTATAGTAACTTCCTTTAAAAAAAAATCTTGCCAGCAGTGGTGGCACATGCCTTTAATCCTAGCACTCAGGGGGCGAGGCAGGTGGATCTTAGTGAGTTCAAGACCAGCCTGGTCTACAAAGGAGTTCCAGAGCAGCTAGGACTCTTACACAAAGAAACTGTCTCGAAAAGCAAAAAAAAAAAAGAAATAAAATCTTATTTAAGGGGATGAGTTAAGCCTGCTCTTCCAGAGGACCAGGGATGGATTCCCAGCACCCACACAGCAGCTCACAACTGTCTGTAACTCCATTCCCAGGGAATTGGACACCCTTTCTGGTCTTCATGGGTACTACACACACATGCATGTGGAACACAGACACACACTTGAGGTAGAACTTACCCATTCACATTAAAAAAAAAAAAATCAAGATTAAACATTTTAAAAAGTTATCTTTTAAGATTTATTTTTATTTTTCTTCATGTGTATCTGTATGCATGTATGTGCATGTGAGTGAGTGCCAGAAGAGACTGACCCCTGGAGCTGGAGTTACAGGTGGTTGTGAGCTACCCAAAGTGGGTGCTAGGAATCAAATCTGTGTCCTCTGGAAGAGCAGGCAGTGTTCTTCTGTGTAGCTATGGCTGGCCTGGAGCTTAACTATATAGACCAGACTGGCCTCAAACTCACAGCAATCCACCTGCCCCTGGCTCCTGAGTGCTGGGTTTAAAGCATGTGCCCCCACCCCTGGCTTCTGGTAACTTCTGTGTTATAGGAACTGACTAGCCCTATGGTGGCCCTAGCTTTTGCTCAGGAACCGCCTATAATCTTAACTTATTCTGGTATCTATTAGCTGTCGTAGACAAAACGTCTGTGGACACAGTAATCTCCAGGTGGCTCTCACTTCAGCCTTCTAGTGCTCCTTGGTCTTTTGGCTAAGGTCAAGTGCAGAGAGCTATCTCTAGTCCCTCCAACCGTCCTATCCTCCTTGTGATTTCTCTTACCAGGATTTTAACTCAACAGACTCTGTTCTTCACTTCTCAAGGCTCCTCAAGTTCCTGCTTTTCCCTTCAGTGATGACCGTATGTATGATACTTCAGTAACCCAGCGGTGAATGTGAGGTGTTTGCTGGCCATACACATTTGCCAAAGAGCAATTTACCGACATGAAGCCTAGTTCATGGAGGCTGTTTGCTCTTCTGATCACTGACTTGGAGAGATTGCCTGCAGATGCCGTATTAGGCTTCAGTCCCACTCCCACCTCAGCCCCTCCCCTGCCTCAGCCTTCTGAGTGTTGGGGTTGTGGGCATGAACTACCATGTCCAGCTAAGAAGCTGCCTGTTGAGCGCAGGTACTCAGGTACTTACGTTTTTGTGGCTTTGGTCCCCTCCCCCAGCCCCCAGTACTGAGGTGGAGCCCAGGGCCTCACATGTGCTATCCAAGTTTATCTCCTCAGCTCCCCCCACCACCCTTTTTTGAGACTGGGTCACATATAGCCCAGATGACCAAAGATGACCTTGAGTTTATCCTGCCTCCGTCTAGAGTGCTGAGATTATAGGCACGTGCCACCAAGCCTCATTTTATGATATAATGAGGATCAAGCCTGGAGTCTTGTGCATGGTAGACAAGCACTCTTACCAACTAAGCTATATGCCCACCCCCCTCAACAGTTACACACTTTTTAAAAGATTAGTTTTGATGATGTGTATGTGTGTGGGTGTGTGCATGCGAGTGCAGCGGCCTACAGGTTAGAGGCATTGGATCCCCCTGGAGCTGGAGTTACAGGCAATTGTGAGCTGCAGAGCATGGGTGCTGGGAACTGAACTTGGGTCCTTTGCAAAGTCGCATGTGCTTTTAACCACTGAGTGATCTCTCCAGCCTGAGTTTTTTACACTAAAAGCATTTAGTTTTAGAAATCTTTTGTATGGGGGTTGGAGAGATGGCTCAGTGGTTAAGAGCACTGGATGATCCTCCAGAGGACCCAGGTTCAATTCCCAGCACCCACATGATAGTTCACAGCTTCTGTAACTCTAGTTCCAGGGGATCCGACACCCTCACACAATATATGCAGGCAAACACACCAATGCACATAAAATAAAATTAAAAAAAACCTTTTGGTATGATTATGCTCATGTTTGCTTGTGAGTATGGGTGCATGTGTGCCATAGCTCAGGTGTGGGTTTCTTGTTTGCCACTGTGTATGCCAGGTTAGGAGGCCCTCAAGCTTTCTGGGATTACAGATGTGAGTTGCCTCTATGTGAGTGTTGCTAAAATTCCTTCCCAGAGGGAGACATAAACAGTGTCTACCCTTCTTCCTAAGGTCTCGATGACAAATTGACAAACCGAGGCAGGATTCCACCAAAGTTCACTCTGGAGACCCAATGAGTTTCCTGGACTTCCTTAAAGAGCATAGGTGAGGGGTTACTTAAAAGGGTGCTCGTCCCCGGCAGCAGGCTGTACCTGAAAAGTCTTTATCCAGCAGGCCCCTTCCCAGGCCATGCAGTTACAATAGGTGGTAAGGAGCCATGGACATCAGCTAAGAACCCAGTGCTCCTCTCTGTCCCTCTGTGCAGGGGACATAAACTGTCAATAAGCCCAGCTGGAATGACCTTTTGCAAGGAGGCACAGTTGACTGTCCCAAGATGGCAGCAATACTGTTTGGTCTTGTTCATACCCTCTGCCTTTCTTTCTTTTTTTTTTTAATGGTTTTTCGAGACAGGTTTCTCTGTGTAGTTTTGGTGCCTTTCCTGGATCTTGCTCTGTAGACCAGGCTGGCATCGAACTCAAAAAGATCCGCCTGCCATGCCGGGCAGTGGTGGCACACGCCTTTAATCCCAGCACTCGGGAGGCAGAGCCAGGCGGATCTCTGTGAGTTCGAGGCCAGCCTGGGCTACAGAGAGAGTTCTAGGAAAGCTAGGACTGTTACACAGAGAAACCCTGTCTGGAAATAAAATAAAATAAACAGAGGTTAAGAGCTAAGACGCCGGGGCCGCAGGCTCACACACCTCAGCCTTAGTGTGACTGGGTCACTGCAACAGGGTCAGACAGGAGGATCATTCTTAGTGTGACTGGGTCACTGCAACAGGGTCAACAGGAGGAACATTCTTTGCCAAAGTGATAAGACTTCAACAACACTAACATTTTATTAAGAAATGTCTTTATTTTAAATGATAGTACAAAACTGTATATATAATATAGATCTGTATAGGTATATGTACACAAATGCTCATCCATACACATGTACACACAAGCTTGCTCATCAGAATGCACTATTTCTTCCTAAGTAAAAAAGAAAATTTAAGTTTCCCTAAAATTTTACTGTACATAAAGCTGCCAGACAAGTTGAAAAACAAGAGGACACTGTTGGGCACCTGCCTCTACATGGCCTTGGCAGGACACACTGGGCAAGGCCAGGGAGCAGAGTTGCTACTGTAACAGTTAACATCGCAAGTCGTCAGAAACCAAGTGGGACACAGAGTATGACCTGGTTAATTCTCAGCAACACATCACCTCAGAAGACAACGTGTGGTTGGGAAGGAGGAGGGAAGGAAAAGAGGAGCCCCACAGGTTAGAGATGACGGACTAATTATGTCCCAGTGCCTGGCAGAACCTTCCTAAGACAGGAGCTGTGGGCAGCAGAAGCCCGCCGAGTGGGGGAGGGCAGGGAAGACAAGGATCACAGTTCCCTGCTCCTAACAAGCCAAACTACCACTCCATTGTTTAAGAAGATCTTCCTTCCTAGCCCTAGAGAGGGTAAACTACCACTGCAGAGTTTAAGATCTTCCTCCCTAGCCCTAGAGAGGGTAAACCCTTTAGAAGGACAGCACCAGAGGGTTAGACTACTTCATTCTAATGGCCGTCCTTCTTGCTTTTGGTCTCCTGTTAAGTAAAGTGACAGGAAATAGTCTGAACTTGAAGGAGTAGAGGCACCACATAAAATGGAGTTAGCTGGTCTGCCATGGTGACTTGTGTGTAATCCCAGGACACAGGAGACCAAGGAAAAAGGATTGCTGAGTCTGAGGCTAGCTGAGTTACATAGTAAGTTCCAGGTCAGCCTGGGCCAGAAAGAGACCCTGTTTCAAAGAAGCCAAACAAACCAGGAGTAAGAGCGTAAAGTGCATAGTGGTGGCCTTGACATGAACTTTATCCATCTGCACGAGGAGAGGGCAGCAGGCTAGTGTCCAAGAAATTAGGACAAAGAGTGACTCCTGCTCATTGTTAGACTTGTGACAAGAGTGCCCCTTGTGCCTCCCTCAACTCTTCTAGCCCCGAGGTGGCAGATGTTAGGAGACAGTCCTATGAGCAAGCTTTCTCAGAGCAAGCTCTTTCTCCAAGGTGGGACCCTGGGCTGGGACGCAGGGGTCCAGAGGGCCAGTTTCCACAGCTCCGCACCTGGGCTCTTTCCTGCCAGAAGTCTAACTGTGCAGCCCAGGCTGGTCAAGCCAGCTTCAACGGGAGGAAAAGGCACTGACTGGGTCATGGGGGGCAGCTCACTTTGCTCCTGGTCACTGTGCACTGACCATGGTGTCTGCACTCATCTGCTTGCTTCCCCGTGAGCATGGACCAGCTCCTTGGGCCTCAACTCCCTTATTTCTCCTTATTCAATGTTTCCTTGGATCAAGAGGATTCAAAGAAACCCTATCTATGTACTTAATAAGCATCCAGGTTATCCCAGATAATTTAGAGATGAACCTCAGAGAGAAAACTGGGAAAGATCCATTATGTATTTACATACATATACACTGATATGCACCCAGCAAAAGGATATAAAAACTATCTGTTGCCAGGTGCCTTTAATCCTGGCACTCAGGAGGCAGAGGCAAGTGGGTCTCTATGAGTTCAAGGCCAGCCTGGTCTACATAGCAAGTTCCACGCCAGCCAGAGCTACATAGTAAGATTATGTCTAGAAAAAAGACAGAACCAAAGCCAATACACATCTGACAGAGAAAGAGTGTCTCTTAAGGCACAGAGTTCAAAGCAGAACCCCTAAGGCCACTTTCTCCTACGTTAGCCATGAGGGCTCTGCTTTGGCATTACAATAATAGGCCCCCACAGGGCAGGAGCGGGGAAGGCACATTTATACATTTGTCATGAATTTCCCTGAAGCCAGGAAGAACAGAAGTTGTAACATTCTTTTTTTTCCTCTTTTTTGGGGAAAGACTTACAATCAAGATGCAAATGTCGGGTCTATCTCCCTGAATTAACACTGGAATTCCTGCAGCAGCTTTCCTGTAGAGTCCTAAGCCTGGTGTCCTTCTGCTGAGCTCCAGCCCCAAACGGCTCATCTGCCACTTGATCCTCATGTATCCAGCCTTAGAAATCAGCTGGGCCCTCTTAACCCAGAAGATCCATGGTATATCCTTTCAACTGACCCAAGCCAGATGTGGAGCTCACACCTAGAGTCTCAGCACTCAAGAGGCTGAGGCAGGAGGACTGCCCTGAGTCTGAAGCCAACCTGGGCAACAGAGTGAGGCCCTGTCTTAAAAAACCGACAAACAAAGAAGGCTGGCTTAGAAGGTTATCTGAGGTCATGAAGTGGCATTAGTGGACTTAATTTCTACTTACTTACTCTCTGGGTGTGAGTGTGCTGTGTGTGCATGTGTGTGTCCGGGTGACTATGCCTGTGTGCGGAGGGTAGAAGAGAAGGTGGGTCTCTTCCTCCTCCCTGCTTTCTGCTGTACTCATTTAGGACCTGAACCTGAAATTCCCCTTTAGGTCAGACTGGCAGGCAGCAAACCCCAGTGGTCCTCTGTCCTCGGCCTGCTGGAGGGTTAGGGTCACAGGAGGCCCAGGGACCAGGCTTGTTAGAGTGGGTGCTGGGATCTGAATTTGGGCCCTCATGCTCGTATATCACAAGAGTTCTTATCCACTGAGCCATTTCTCAGCCCCATCTTTTGAGACAGTGTTGTCACGTATAAGTGTGGCCTCTAACTCTTGAGCCTCCTGCTTCAACCTCCTCCAAGCTGGGATTTCAGTGTGTCCCATGCTAGGATCCACACTTCATTTCTAACTGACTGAGAGCATCCTCTCCCTCACCCTCGCAGCCTCGCAGCAGTGTGACTGAAACGCAAAGCCTACTTCCTTTTTGAGATGATAAACAGAGACGTCATGTTCAAAAACGACTTGGAGCAACAAAACAGCCTCCTAAAGAAGCAGCTCTGCTCGGAAGGGAGGGCTAGATGGACAGATCCCATGCCCACAGTAACTACCAAGGTAATGAGGTGGTTAGGCATGGATACCCTCTGCAGAGTTAATCCCCATCCCCTTAAAAGGAGGAAGGAATTAAGTCAACATATGCTCCAAGAATGTAAACAGAAGCCATGTAAAGAGAAGCTTGTTCCCTCCAGTTAGCCAAGGCTCTAGAATGCCACACATGAGAGCTTACTGCTAGCACCCCGTTCCCCAGGAGTCTCAGGAGAGCCAGCAGCAGGAAGAAGCAGACAGCGCTCCCCATCCTCAGCTGCACACAGCCTCCTCCACTCTGTCTCCAGACACTCTCAAGGCGCTAGAATAATCCCTGATGCTCGGATCCACAGAGCAGACCTAGTCCAAGTGCCAGCAGCCAAGACTCATTTCAAAACAGTTATTTTGGCCTATAAACCTCTAACAGTCCAATCTGTTTGTTAACTTTGATTTAGAGAATTATATTTTCAGCCAAAAATGATTCTACACCTCTGGAACACTGCAACAATTATTCCACTAATCAAGGTAAACAGAACCGTGTTACCTGTCAAGCTGTTTCCAGGTTAAAAATGCCCACTTTCTTCATGATCACTAGTTAGGAAACCATATTCTCGACAGTCATTCAATGTGTACCTGGCACATGTCCCTCTGGTTCCTTCTAATTTGCAACAAAGCAAGCAAGTCTACGTAGCTTTTCCCTGATTTCAGATACCTTTCCCCCTTTGGGGAGACAGGGTGTGGGCTGGCCTCAGACTTAATAAATAACCAAGGATGGCCCTCCTCTTCTCACCCCCTGCCTCCCTCTCCTAGTTCTGAGATTGCAGACATGTACTATCACATGCTGTTTAAATTTTTAAAAAATATTTTGTTTTTTGCAGTCCTGGGGATTGAACCTAGGACTTCATAAAATGACAGGCAAGGGCTCTTCCTGAACTATAGTCTCGGCCCTTTCTTTTCTCTTTAAGACAGGTGTCTCAGCCAGGCAGTGGGGGCACACACTTCTGACCCCAGCCCTTGGTGGGGGGGGGAAGCAGCCGGGTCTCTGTGAGTGCTGAGATTACAGGCATGAGCAGGACGCCCAGCTATACAAACAATAAACCACTCTGTGTTAAGACTAGAGACCTGCCCCGACCCACCTCAACAACACCCCAGCACTGAGGATCTTTGCACAAGTGTTTGAGCAGAGAGTAAGCGAGAGAGGAGGTCAGCAAGAGCCCGGGTGTGGCTCCTTGCTCTGTGGCAGTGACGACACCTGCACCCTCTGTCACCTGTCCTGAACACTGTAAGGCAGAGCTCTGCTGGCCCACATTAACAAAAGCAGCAACGTACTCATCCAAAATCAAACAGAAACAAGCCCACACAGCGTTGGCCTTCATCTCTGCCACACTCCTTTTTTTGGCCATAGAAGGTAAAGTGCTATAGGAAAGCACCAATGTCCTTTGTGACATAGAATGTCCAATCACATTTTATAGAATTCAAAGAGTTCGAGCTTGATTTTATATAAACAGGTGTTTGGAAGCAATATGCTTTGACAATAAATGACCCTCCTGATTGAAGTCTTATAAAGTCCAGTCAGTACAGGTTCCATCTCAGGACCTTGTTCTGGCCACTGCCCCATCTCAGGAAACGCAGCCTGGAGGACACAGGTTCGACATGTACACTCCCCCACATAGGTCAATTTTCCAGCATTTAAGAGTCTGACGTCAACTGTTTTTCCTTGCTCTCCTGCCCCCATTCTGTTGTGTACATACAGTGTAGAGGAGGAACCCAGGGCTTCCGTGCACGCTAAGCACCATGTTCTACCCTGAGCTACGTCCTCAGATTTTTGGCTGTTGTTAGTTAGGGTCTGTGTAGCCCTGGCTGGAACTCCCTATGTGGGCCAGGCTAGTTAGAATCCCAAAGACCTACCTGCCTCTGCTTCCTGAGTACAGGGGGGAGAGGTCACCAAGTCTGGCCAGTCAGAGTTTTTGCTGTGTTTTTTTGTTTTGTTTTGTTTAGAAAAATCTTACTGTAGCCAAAGCCGGCCTTGAACTTGCAGTGATCCTCCTGTCTCAGCCTCCCAAGTGCTGGGATCACAGGCATGCACTGCTGTGCCTGGTTGAATTTTGTCTCTTTAAACTGGTGTCTAAGCTATGAACATACAATTTATCAGGCAATCAAGTCAGCTTCTCTTTGCTAACTTACTTTCTTTTTGAGGCAGGGTCTCTGTATGTAGTCCTGGCTATCCCAGAACTCTCTCTGTAGACTAGGCTGGCCTCAAACTCACAGAGATACACCTTCCTCTACCACCTCAGTGCTGCTGGCAGAGGTATACCCCACCACCCTTGATTTAATTTTCTCTTCTTGCGTTAGGGTCCCACACTGTAGCCCAGGCTGACCTGTAAGTCACTATGGAGCTCAAGCTGGCTTCAAACTCAAGGCAATCTTCCTGCCCCATGTTCCCAAAGTGTGAACCTCGGCATTTAACTAACTTAACTTTTCAATTTTTATTTATATGTATAAGTGTGTGGGTGCTCACAGAGGCCAGAAAGGGGGATCTGATCCCCTGCAGCTGGAACTACATGTAGTTGTGAGCAGCCTGATATGGGTGCTGGGAGCGGACCTCAGGTTCTCTGGAAGAGCAGCAATACTCCTAACCACTGAGCCACCTCTCCTCTCGCATTCTGTTTTGCTTTGTCTTATCTGGAGACGAGTTCTCACTATGTAGCCTTGGCTGACCTGAAACTTGATATATGGACCAGACTGGCCTAGAACTCACAGAGATCCGACTGTCTGTACTTCCTGAGTGATGGGATTGAAGGTGTTCACCACGACACCTGGCCCTATTTCACTGAAGGAGTCTCTTTAGCTTATGCTGACCTCACACTTATTAGCTCTGTCTCAGCTTCCTGACTGCTGGCATTTCAGGTATGTACTACCATTCTTGCTTATAGATTCCTTATTAATTCAGTGAATTAACTAGGGACAGCTTGTGGGCCTGCTCTTAGCAATGTATGGTATATTTAGTTAGACAGTGGTGGCCTTTAATCCCAGCACTGGGGAAGCAGAGGCAGGTAGCTCTGTGAGTTCAAGGCTAGCCTGGTCTACAGAGTGGGTTCCAGGACAGCCAGGGCTACACAGTGAAACCCTGCCTCAAACCTCCCCCTGCCATGCCCCCCACCCCCCCAAAAAAAAGGAAAGGAAAAAAAGGAATGTAGGGTTTCTTTTACTCCTCCTCAAGAGGGGGCTTCCTACAACCATATTAGTTTCATAAATCTAAGGCAAATTTCAGGTCACTTGAAAATCTCAGTTATAATTATTAAAGGCTCTTGGTGTATATGTATTACAAGTATTATTTTAAAATCTTTTGATATAAAGTTAAGTATTTAAAAAAAAAAAATCAACCCGCAATGCCCAGTACTCTGTTTAAAGCAATGATGTGACTTGAGAGTTTTGGTCCTGGTCCTTTGGTCCCTTAGATCCCTAAGGTGGCTCTGAGTTGAGTTTTCCAGCTGCACACACAGCCTTCCTGGGCCCAGGCACTGGGCCCTGCTATTGTTACCTTCTTAAGGACAGTCTTAATTGGTACACAATGCTTGCCCTCTGTATTTTCTTCTTAAAAAGGATAAGATGAATGAGTGCAAGTTGTGGCCTTTGCGTGTTAGGATGGAACAGTTTCTATGGAAACACTAGCGTGAGGCTCTGTGGTCCTTCCCGACTTCATCACTTCCGCCGCTCTCTCTTCCACTTCCCCTTCTGTCACTATGACAGCACCCACTTCCGCTACCTCCTCCACCACGGTGAAATCCACTCCGTTGGGTTGCTGCTGCTGCTGCCGGGCCATAGCCTCCAGCTTGAGTCGGTACTGCTCCGCCTCCTGCTCCTTCTTGAGAAGCTGGTGTCTGTATTCCTGGGCTCTTCGGTTGGCCTCCTGCAGCTGCTGCAGAAGCTCTCGTTCACTGCCTTCCTGCAGAGCACACGACGGCGTGGCCACAGTGAGAACCCCGCAACAGTCTACAGCCCGTAGACAACAGACGGAGAGGCCGTGGCCACAGTGAGAACCCCGCTAACAGTCTACAGCCCGTAGACAACAGACGGAGAGGCCGTGGCCACAGTGAGAACCCCGCAACAGTCTACAGCCCGTAGACAACAGACGGAGAGGCCTTGGCCACAGTGAGAACCCCGCAACAGTCTACAGCCCGTAGACAACAGACGGAGAGGCCTTGGCCACAGTGAGAACCCCGCAACAGTCTACAGCCCGTAGACAACAGACGGAGAGGCCTTGGCCACAGTGAGAACCCCGCAACAGTCTACAGTCCGTAGACAACAGACGGAGAGGCCGTGGCCACAGTGAGAACCCCCGGTGAGAACCCCGCTAACAGTCTACAGTCCGTAGACAACAGACGGAGAGCCGTGGCCATGGCTGCCTTTCCTTCTCACCCTCTCACGGGAAGAATCTCCTCACCTTGCTTTCCTCTACACTGTCTGTCGTCTCTGCCATCCTTGGTCTCTTGGCCAGTGGCAACTTGTCTTCTTCTTCTTCCTCTTCAATTACTGTCTCCTCTGCAACCTGACCAGCAGGCACGGTCAGAACTACGAGCCAAAACACACCAGTGGAGATAATGAGCACACACTATCCAGACAAGTCTTGTTTGCTTTTAACTGGAAAAAGGTGAACTTAATATTATTACTATTTTTAGCATGGCTTCTTGTATGCCAGAGAAGTGTTCTACCACCAGGTTATACCCATGCCCCTGTACACTGTTTGTGGTATCTCTTTAGCTGGGGGCTGCACACCCTTAGTCCCCATGCTCAGGAGGCAGAGGCAGGCAGAACTCTGAATTCGAGCTCAGACTGGTCAACAGCAGGGCTCTCTGTAGCCCTGTCTCAAAAAGCAAAACCAAAAACAATGAAAACAGAGTCTGAAGTCAAAAGATAAGGTGAAGCCCCACAAAAAGAACCAGAGAAGAAGCAGAACCCAGGGAAGAAGGAACCGCAGCTCAGAGACCATGCAGGCCTCAGGTTCTTAAGATAAAGACCTTTGGCTTAGCCAAACATGGTGGTACGTGCCTGTGATTTCCGCATTCAAGAGGCTGAGGGAGAAGACCAGCTTTAAGTCTGTGCTGCCCTGGCCTACAAAGTGAGCACCAGGCAGCCAAAGATACGCAGCCAGACCTCTTCTCTCTCTCTCTCTCTCTCTCTCTCTCTCTCTCTCTCTCTCTCTCTCTCTCTCACACACACACACACACACACACACACACACACACACACACACACACACACACACACAGAAAGACAGAAAGACAGAAAGGAAGGGAGGGAGGGATGAAGGGAGGAAGAAAAAGAAGAGAGACAGAGAGACAGAGTCAAAATCTGAGCCTGCCATGATGCCTTGTGTCAGTAATCCTAGCATTTGGGAGGAGGCAAGAGGATCAGGAATTCAAGGTTATCTCTGGCTACTAAGTGAGTTTGAGACCAGCCTGTGCTATGAGAGATACTGTTTCAAAAGGAAAAAAAAATCAAAATAAAGTAGAGGGTGGTGGCTCACACTTATAATTCCAGTGCCCAGGAAACTAGGTAGGAAGATGGCTTTGAGTTCATTGTCCCCCTAGGTTACAAGTGAGTTTGAGGCCAGGTTGAGGTACAGATTAAGACCTTGCCCAAAAAATTATTTTTCTTTTAAATAATAAAACGGGACTGGAATTAAGAGCCATCTTCTTGCCTCAGCCTCTTGAGTGCAGAGGTTACAGGGATGAGCCATCATACCTCACTTATGTGGGAGATTCTGACAGAAAAGTACAGAAAACTCTGAGCTCCAGGCTATCAGACTACAAAAGGATTCAAAGACCCCAAAGGGAACAGACATTGGGATTAAAGTCAGATTGCCCCGAGTCAGACCGCAAAGGACGAGTGGATACATGGAGCGACCCCTAGACTCCCTTCCCTGTACATGGAAACAGTACATGCAGTGGTACCCTCCTTTACAGACGCTAGAGCTGTCATTTCAAAACATGACAGTGACTACAGCCTTACAAGTCTATTTTCTGGAGGCTGGACCAAGGAGTGGCTGGGTTTCTCCTTGACTTGTGGATGGGCACTCTCTTGCATGGTAGACAAGCCTCTACAAACTGAGTTATCTCTTCAGCCTGTTTTGTGAAATACTGTTTCACTCTGCAGGCCTGGTTGGCCCTGAACTCACTATGTAGATCAGGCTGGTCTGGAACTTGCAGCCATGCTCCGGCCTGTCTCCGCAGTGCTGAGCTCCTGACCTGTGTCCAGTGTCGTTTTCACTTTTATTTATCTGTGTATTCTTTGTGATTGTCTCTCTGTGTAGCCCAAGGTGTCATAGCATCCCATGTGCTGTGACCACAGGCATGTGCCACCACATGTGGTTTAAGACCGTTCATTTTTACTCACAAGTGTGTATCTGTTAGGGAAATTAAACTGCCCTATGTAACCTGGTAACTGTTTCTTCTTAGAGCTTCTTCTATCATTCTCGAGCCTCCCTCCCACGCCTGCAACCTGCCTTACTTACGGTCTCATTCTTAGGAGAATATGACGTATCTGAAATATCTTTAAATAAGCGAACGTCTACTAGATATAACTTACCTTGCTGTCCGTCTTGCATAGTTACAATGAAGGGCTGGCCAATGCCTCCAGGAGGGATTGAGGTTTGAATATTGCCCAGAGGGACTCCATCAGTCACTATGGTGATGACCCTCTGGCCTCCACTCCCCACCACTTGCTGGATCGAGGAGTCAAGTGAATTTCCTTCTTCGATTTCCTCTAAATTAGCTAGAGATAACAACAGTGAATTTAATGTCAAGTTTATAAAAAAAATTACAAGTTTCATCATTCTCTTTGAAATACTACTCCAAGTATTTTTGAAAAAGAAATTTTTTTTGGTTGATTTTTTTTTTTTTTTTTTTTGGTTTTTCGTGACAGGGTTTCTCTGTGTAGTTTTGGTGTCTTTCCTGGAACTCACTCTGTAGCCCAGGCTGGCCTTGAACGCACAGAGATCCTCCTGCCTCTGCTTCCCGAGTGCTGGGATTAAAGGCATGCGCCACCACCACCCGGCTTTTTGGTTCATTTTTTGAGATAGGGCCTTACTTTGTACCCCAGCAGGCTCAGCGTGCCTCAGTCTCCTAAGTGCCAGGATTATAGGACTGAGCAACAATGACTGTCCAGAAAAGCTTTAATGAATAGTAAGTCAGGAGAAAAGAACACAGGGATGCTGTTGGACAGTATTTCCTAAAAATATCCTCAGTGAGATGTTAATAATGTTCAAAGGGAGGTTCTAGGGCGCAGTTGGCAACATACGCTGTACTCACAACCCTCAGGAGGCTGAGGAGGGAGAATCGCCATGAGTTCCAGGCCAGCCTGGGCTATGTAGTGAGATTCTGCCCGAGAAACAAAACAGAAAACAAAACAAAACAAAACAAACCTCCCAAATAACAAAAAAAGATAGGTCCTATGCATAAATACATTTTGAAATGCTAGATCAAATACACTTAACTTTCCAGTTATGGTGGGGCATGAGTAAAATCCTATTATTTGGGAGGCAAAGGCAGGAGGATCTCAAGTTCTAAGCTACATATGAAGTTTGAAGTCAGCCTAGGCTACATGAGACCCCATCTCAAAGAAAACTAAGCTATACATATACTTTTTAGGGGCGGTGGGGTGGGTAGTCCAGGCTGGCCTTAAATTCACAGTGGAGCGGAGGGTGATCTTGAACCCTTGATCCCCCTGCTTTTACCTCACAAGTACTAGGATTTCAAGAGTGAGCCACCATGCCTGACTTATATAGCACTGGTGATAGACTCCAGGACCTTGTGGAAGCTAGGCAAACACTCACCCTGAGTGTGTGTGTGTGTGTGTGTGTGTGTGTGTGTGTGTGTGTGTGCGTGTTAAACTTTTGTTTGGGGTCGGTATCACCAGCTTTAACAGGCTAATGAGCACTGGGACTTCTCCTACAGTTTATGATATGTTCTATTTCCCCCAAACCTTAGAATCCATTTTTTAGGCATCATCTTGAAAGTCTAAATAAATGTATGAACTTGAAGAACAACAACTGTAAATTAGTATAGCTAACTTGAGACTATGGGGACCTTTAACAGGCACTAGTAAAACCTACAGCAAATAACCAAGCTGCATGAAGGTGGCTCCTCCCCGACACGTGAACAAGAGCCGCACTACAGACTGCTCGACGGGCGGGCGCCAGGTCCTTTTCTGAGGTTTACACGTATGAGCGCACTTGACATCGGTCGTCACTATCCCCTAGGCCAAGCACTGCCAGGGGAAGCAATCCCTGCCACTCCTGAGCTTTGTAACAGGAGTCACAGACTGGAAGTCACCGAGAAGTCACTCTGCAGAAGTGGAGCTGGGCTATCCCATCCATAGGAGACACAGCAAGGAAGCTCAATGAAAATGAACTGTTCGCACCTCACAGAAAGGAAGAATAAACTGGGTGTGGTAGCATGCATCTGTAATCCTAGTACTTGGGAGGTAGAGGCAAGGGAAGCAGGAGGTGAGAGTTATGAAATCCTAATTCAGAAACAACAAAACACTCCAATGATCTACACCCAAAGAAACCACCAAGTCTGAATGCTATGGTAGAAATCTAACACAACCACCATTCTAGATGAGGACACTAGTGACCCGGAGAACGTAAGTGATTTACCCCAAACCAGGGAGCCAACTAAAACAGTAAGAATAAGTGTACCACAGTAGGGTTCTCCTGACATACCGCCACACCTCTCTTGTACATATCCAAGTATATCTTTATTTATTTATTTATTTATTTGGAGACCTTGTCTCTCTGTGTAGTGCTAACTCGCTCTGTAGACCAGGCTGGCCTTGAACTCAAAGAGATTTGTCTGCCTCTGCCTCCTGAGTGCTGGGATTAAAGGAGTGTATCACCATGCTCAGCAAAATTCTTTGCTATTTAATATAATTTGAACCTGTTGGAGATTTAATAACAAAAGAAATTGAATTCAGCAGCAGACATCCACCACCTGCCTATTTCTCTGTGTGAGCTGGAGAAGGGAGTTGATGCCTCAGTGAGGGCTGCAAGTGTGGACAGTATTGAGGTGGTGGGATTTGAGAAATGGAATGCTAAGACATGGGGGGCACCTAATCCATTAAAAAAAAGGAAAAAGAGGTCCAACAGGAAGAAGAGAGGCAAAGGAAATCAAACCCTTGGCTTTTTACTTCTTAATTCTTAATTTTTTCCCTAATCCAAATGGATTTAATCCAATTATGTTAAAAAATTTAGGGGGCTAATGAGAGGGCTCAGCAGGGACAGGTGCTGGCTGCCAGGCCTGATGACCTGAGTCTGGGCCCCAGAACCCACATGTGGAAGGAGAGAGCCGCCTCTTTCAACCTGTCTGCTGATTCCACATGCGCTTGTTTCCACATGTTCCACACCCTCCACAAAATAACCAAGTGTTAGCATGTCTTTTACAATGTTTTTCCATGACAGTAGACTAACGTGCGTGGCACAGGGCCACTGCATTTCTCTCATTTCTCTGTGCTCTTGCCACCTCCAATGCCAGCATCAGGACCCACCCAGACCTTGATGGCATGCACTCCCAAGGCTGATCTTCCAGGCTTCCTCGGAAGCAGGCTTACAAACCCCACCTCCTCACAAGCAGAGCTGTGAGGGGACAACACTCCTCCTGACCTTTGTGCCGTCCTGATGTTCATCAGCAGGACAGAGACAGACTGACCTTTTAGAGCAACTATGCTTAAGAGCCTCAAGTTTTGAAGCTTGATGTAGTGATGGAGCATACCTGTGGTCCCAGCACTCCAGAGTGGAGGCAGAAGGATCACTACAAGTCTAAGGTCATCTCAAGTTACAGAGTGAAAATCTGTCTCAAGGAAACAAATCTCTCAAAACCTTAAGTTTTATTTGTTTTTGTTTCTCTCAGAGATCTGCTGCCTCTGCCTCCTAAGTGCTGGGATTAAAGGCGTTTGTGGCACCACTACCCAGCTGGAGCCCTGGTTTCTATTCCCAGCAGACGGGGCATACACCTGTAAATCTGGCACTCAGAAAGTAGAGGCTGGAGGATCGAAAGTTCCAGGCCAGCCCAAGCTAAATGAGACTGTCTTAAAAAGAAAGTAACACACACACACACACACACACACACACACACACACACACACGCACACACACACGCACACGCACACGAACACGCACACACACGCATGCTTATTTATTTACATGTATAATTACATTTTTAGAGGGAGAATAGTTTGTTGAATACACTGCAAGAGGACAGTGGGCTGGGCAGTACCTAGAGTGCAGCCTTCAACCGGCTGGCATACTTGTTTGTATATATTATGTTCATGTGGAAGGTGGAGGTCAGCCTCAGATGCTGTTACGCAGGAAGTGGTCATCTTGTTTTCTGAAATAGGGTCTCTCCCTGGGACCTGAGGTTCCCTGATCAGGCTAGGCTGGCCTCCTTTGTTCGTGTGTGGGGAGGGGGAGAGCCATTGTAAAGCCCAGATCCTCTTGCCTTAGGCTTTCAAGCCTGGGACTGCAGGCATCATGTAGGGGATCAACTTTATTTTAAAAGGTAGATTGCTTGCATAGTATTCTTCACAGCTCCAAATCTTTTTTGGGGGCTGGGGGAGTGGGCAGGGTTCCTCTATGTAGCCCTGGCTGTCCTGGAACTCAGAGATCCTCCTGCCTCTGGCTCCCCAGTACTGGGATTAAAAGAGTGCACCACCAAGCCTGGCTTCTATATCTAAAAACAAACAAACCCCCCAAAACTTTTGACCAATGACTTGGGCAGGGGATGAGGGTGGACACTGATGTCATGAAGCATCTGGAGAGCTGAGTGGCATGAACCAGGCAGTGCTAATGCCCAGGACCTCGTGTCCTGCTAATGACCATACATGGAATACTCAGCTGCCTGTTATTCCAGAATGTTCTGTTAGGTCCCCATTTTTCTTATCTTTTAGCCTGACACAGCAAGGCTAATGTAAGAACTCACAAATCCTCCCCAAGTGAGACAATGATTAACCAAGTTTTAGATACATTTTGTTCCTGTTGGGGTCATACTGGATATCAAACCCGGGCTCTGTGCTTGCTAAGCAATACTCTACAATGAAGCTATGGTCCTGCCACCAGGGAGTCCTTCATGGGGGTTGGAACATACGGGGCTATCAAGTCATTAGCAATCAAAACACGTCTAATTTGCTAGGTTAAAAAAACTACTTATGCATATGTGTGTGTTATGTGCACCACATGTGTGCAGGTACCCTCAGAGGCCAGAGGACACTGGATCCCCTGGAACTGCAGTTACAACAGGCAGTTCTGAGTCTTCTGATGTGGGTGCTGAGAACAGAACCCAGATCCTTTGCAAGAGGAGTAAGCACTCTTAACTGCTGAGCCGCCTCTCCAGCCTCCTGTTTGAGACAGTCTCATTCTGCAGCCTAAAGAGAGAAAATCAGGGCCCACGGTGCTGTCTGTCTTCAGTGCTGGGGCCTGAACTCACCTCAAAGCTGACACCAGGCTGTTCTCTGTCTCTTCATGGCATTAAATAAAACTTGTGGCTTCAAGGAACAATCTCGGTCTTAATGTCCTGGCATCCTTCACTCTTTTTGCTTTTTATTTTGAGACAGGATCTCAACAAGTTGATCAGGCCTGCCTTGAACTCACTTGGTAATCTAGGCAGGCCTTGAACTCAATCCTCCCGCTTTAATTTCTCCAATAACTAGAATTACCTAGCTTAGTAGCATCTTATTATCTATTTAGAACATGGATAAGTTTGTTGTAACCTTGAGACAGT